CAAACATTAGCCGACGAAAACCAATGTTCTCCGACTTCAATAACGCCTGTGGAAAAATTAATCTTCGACTTAGTCTCACAAAAGCGATGGTGGTGACGATCGGATTGGTTAGCTATACCCCATTGAAGCCCATTGAGATGAATATCCTTCTAATGCTCCAGTTACATCTATCTATCTCGAGGGATTAACATGGTAAACAACTTAGCTGCAGATTCTTCATAAGTGTACAAGAACTTATATTTCGCAACATACCCTGCCATTAAAAAGAAAAAAAGGCAGTGAATAAAAAGGGTTAAGATTGTGATTATAACTAAGCCTCAGCTTAACTGGGCTCAACGCCGATTTGGGCTCAACAGATCAATCCCGTTGACGGGCGATTGCTGATGGCAAAAGATCAATCGAACTAGCTGAGAGACGGGCGAAACGAAGGACCTGCATAGTATGGTGGTGAACGCGTTACTCCCTGGAAAGGACAATAGCGCGTTCGTTCCCCACCGCATACACCTGTGGTCCGGAGTTTTGCAAATATCTCAGCATTATATATTAGCTGCAGAGTTAAACGCGAGGAAACGAGCGTCCTGGGGTGCATTCAAAAGCAACGAGAGTATAGGCAAGAAAGCAGGGAACATTCCGCTCTGTGGCAGCCTTTTTGAAGCATTCTTCGTATCTTAAGGTATGCGTCAGAAACCTGGTCGCTGCGTAAGCAGGATGAAGGATCATTTAGCGTTATTGAACACGCAGTCGAAAAGACGTTGCTAGGAGTACCCGTCTCACATAAGTAAAGGAAGGGATCCGAAGCTCCGGTCTGCGTCAACGATCAAAAATGAAAGTTGCTCGTCTATACACCAAACTGTCAAAGATGTGGCCCGGACACGTAACGAGTGTAAGAGACAACCGATTCCTTGTTTTCTGGTTTTTAGCAGTCACGAATCGATCGCCATGGGACCGATAGCACGGTGGTCGTGATGACTATCACTACGATAGTTCGATCCCGCTGCGAGATATCCTAGCCTCTCATCTCTGCTTCGCTGCTGAATTGCTACCGAACTTGGCCGAAAAAAAACCACTCTCTGCGATCCAAGTGGAAACACTCTAGTCTGGCTGTTTCAGGGCTTCAGTGAGAATCGAGTGAGAACCAGCGTTTTATGAAATTCAGGATGAAATGAAAATCCTCAAGCAGCAGCCAAAGCCACGCCTAAAGTTGGAAGACCCTCGTGGACGATGTATGCGAGCAAACAAATCGAATGTGAGAAGTTAGAGGATCCCCACAGAAGATGTGAAGTCTAGTATAAAATAAAAAAAAATAAAAAATTATGAATAAGGAAACTTGAGGCTGTGATGCCACCTACTTTACAATAGATATCAGAGTTTTCAAGATCACGTAATCAGAAGTAAAAAATTACCATGGTGATTTCGCCCACAGCCTCATCAAAGCCGGGTTCAATTCTGATGCGAGGGAAGTGGCAGTTGATCCAATTGGTAGCTTTCATGGTGATTGCGATTTATGGCTGAGGTATCACATCTATTTCCGCTCTAATGAGATAGGAATTGACAAGCCTTTTGGTTCACATGTATTCGTTGGTGTTAAAGCGGTGAAAACATAAACTTCTTCCATATCCCAATAGTCTCAGCCAAGTCGAGAAGCAGCTCGAAGTTATCATTTGAACGGGCGCTTAAGTGTAAAACCACAACTACTTTGCATATATATATATATATATATATATATATGCATGTATGGGTAATTGAGTAAAACAACATTAATAAAATGCGGTGCAGAAAGCGGATCCGTGATGAGGCCATTTAATATTCACAGAGTTCTGGTTCACCCACCAACCACTTTATCCGAACCTGTCATTTCTCCGGGAACCGAAAATTACTACCTGATTTGTCTATAAATGCCCTTTCTTCGACTTACATGGGCTGCCAACATCCAGTGATGAAAGTCTGGAAACGGCCATACACCTCTATCCTGGGGTTCCTGGAAGAGTCGACTCGAGCAGCATTTGGTGACTTTCATAAAAAAGGCACAAAATGCGTAAGTAGCGCCAAAGACCTTCGTTGATGACGAATTCGATGAAACGATGAGAATGCAGAAAGTAATGGGTTACGCACAGTATGTGGTACCAGTTCACATGAAAAAGGTTTCGAACTTGTATGCGAATAATAAAGTACACTTCGCAGTACCGATGAGAGCAAAAATGCTTGCCGCAAGAGTAGTAGGCGTCGGAGCACATATTACTTCCTACAACTCAGCAAACGCGAAGTGACTAAAGAGAAAGAAAAGTATCGATTGTGAATTTCAACATTAAGTGCACAGTGGATGTCAAATCTTGGTTATGAATTCGATGCTATAAAGGCTATTGAAATATGTATTTAAATTGGTGAGCTTACACAAGGTTGATATATAGACCTATCTAGCTAACGTTTCGACGTCTTCGCCTTCATCAAAGTCGATCGTTCGAGCCTCCTCCAATTGTTCGTCGTCGCCGAATAAATCTATATACCAACCCGGTGTAAGCTCAACAATTTGAATACATGTTGACCGTTTTGGCACCGAAGTTAAATGACGGTCTGCTTAAAAATTGTTCCACTATTGGAATAATTCTAACCGATTAATTGACCAATAGAATAAACGAGATGATCTTTCGTGACTTTCTTAGGACAGACAAGAATGTCGCATTCTTCTTCAGTATGACTGTCATTATTGTTGATTATGAAAAGTTCGAGAGTTAACGTTGAAAAATGACGCGGGAGAAAAGGAATTTCCTTAAATAATATGACCATTTTCCATTCAGGAAAATACATTTTGTATCTGGCGTTACCTTATGTGAAGGATGACTTGGATCACTGGTATGCTTCTCGTCTAGGCTTTGCAGCTTACAGTGTTTATTGTCTCATTTTGTAGCGAAAAATTATGAATGATGGAAGCACCCAAATGACGCTTCCAGATGTTGCGATTACTGCACTCATTATAAACAAATGTTTTATATGACGTTCTGCAATTTTTAATCGTTTGTATTTCCATTTCATCAACAACCAGACCTTTTTGCGAGGATAGGAAGACTGCCTGGTAATTCTGTAGTCCATCGCAAATCTTTGTATGCGCCAGATATGCATTCAATTACCTCAGACAGCTTTGAATGGAAACGAAGTCATGGCGCTTTTCACAGGAACTGAGAAGCGTTATGTATAACTTCTTTGTTTTATTCGCTTCCTATTTCGTTTATGTGATCACTCAAGTAAAATTGATGAAAGACTTTGATTTAGAAACCGTGGCGCAATGGTCTCGACGTGTCTAAAAGTGGGCACGTCGACAGCAATACATTACTGCTTCCTTGAAGATTTAAAGGATATCTTGCCTTATGTCATGCGATGTAAGTCATTTAACCTAAATATGCCATGAAATTTCTATGTTTTTGGCGTTGGTAAATAACATCAAGCGTTTTTAAGCGTTTATTTCCTCTCCTTTGCGCTTAAACTTAGAATCCAAGTAGAACATTTGCGTTGAAAATTACTCCAAATTTTAACCACGAATTTTAATAAAGGAAGCAGATTTCTGTCCTTCCAACATTAGATCTAATCAGTTCAGGTAAACCATATCCCACAAAAATATATTTCCTGTTAATCACCGAGTTTCCCTTTAGCCTTTTAGTTCTTCTGAATACGAGCCAATTCACCACAGTACTCTTTTCGTGCAGAGCTTAAATGGCATCGAACAGAAAGATGAGCTAAAACCTTAGAGATTCCAAAGCAACAGAACTCTCAAGTTTTCAGCTTTTAAGCCAATTGTAGATGTTGAAGTTTGAAGAACCTAGTTAACTTTCCTATCGTCATTGTTTCAGCGTCATTCTTCTTCTTGTTTAGAACGGTGTATTTACAAATCTTTGATGAGCAATTGATTTCGACGAAGTAATTTGAAACTCTGGTGACAGTATTAGGTCGTTACCTAAATCCAATAGCTACCAGTAATTCTTACACTAACGACTCCGTATTTACTTGAAACACTTCAAGGTACCGAGGTATAGAGCCGTTAGGGAGTTTCCCTTTATTTTGCCAGCAGTTACAGGTTATCGATTGGAGCCACAAGATCCGTAACGAAGTTGCATTGAACCCAGTTAAGCTGAGGCTTAGTTATAATCACAATCTTAACTCTTTTATTTACTGCCTTTTTCCGATAGATCGATAGAACTAGCTGAGATACATGCAAACCGAAGGACCCTGATGGTGTAGTGGTGAAGTGCGGTGCTCCCCGGTAAGGACAACAGCGCGTGTTCGTTCTCCACTGCATACACCTGTGGTCCGAGTTTTGCAAATATCTCAGCATTTCATACGAGTTATAATTCGTTCACTTTCTTCAAATATGAAAAGATCCGTCCTTTGTGTTTGTCGAAACTTCTTCCATTGCTGAAATACACATCATAGATTACTCTTTCCAGGAAAAAAATGTTTTCTCAACCGGAAATGGAATGTTAAATAAAGAATTCTTCGTGATGCATACTTTCTGGTATTCCATGTAACGTTGTTTTGCCTCTTCACTGTAGGCATGCCGCCTTCGAGCGACTATATCCTCCATAGTCAACAGGCGAACTAGAAACAATTTTTACACGAAATAACTAAAGAATACCTTTAGAAATCAGGAGTATTCTTTAGCGCAACGGGAACCTTTTATGAGTCCATTTTTTTTACTTTTTTTTTTACACTACTAGAACTATTAACCATCACTCGTCAGTGAGAATGCCGAAAAACTTAAGTTGAATCAACATGAATGGATGCTCGCAGAGAAAACCAATTTATGTGTTTAAGTGTAAGCTGACCAATTCAAACGCATGTTGCTCTGTTACTCCGAGGTTCAAAGAAAGTCCATTTTTCAAAAACCAATTTCCCATTTTCCAAAATTCTTTCTTCTGTCTTGGAATTTCACTACATAATCTTAATGGCAGACGATTTCTTCGAGCAAAGCATCTACACAATAACGAACTTAATACTATGAACAAGCATCTCTACTTAGGCCATAACTCACCTTTTACTGACGAAGTCTGTTCCTGAAACTGTTGCATTTTATCTATCAAAAAGTAATCTTAGTTCTGCGCTCAACATTTACCTGTGAATGTTCAGACTTTGGCTCTGGTTCGGTTTCAATCATTGACTGTGATTCCGGATTAGGCTGTGGTTCGATTTCCACTGAAAGTTCCCGTTCTGGCTCAGCTATTGGAATGGATTCACACGGCAGAGGTGTAAGTTCTTGTGGTGCTGGTGTTGGAGATCGAGGTGGTGTTGTTTCCCGTGCACTTTGTTCTGATAGAGGTACTGGTGGCCACTCACTCACTTCTTCTGTAGTACGAAAAACAGTTTTTAAGTATTTCTAACCACTCTCTGCTTCCAGCTATCTTCCTCTCAATATCATTTATGTACTTGAAGCAAAGATAACCGCACTTTTAATTTTTATGATGCAAAAAATAAAATCTCATTGAGATAATGATGAATAACTATTTAAAACTATTTGAAACTAGGCATTTGAAACTTATTTGATAATTATGTTCGTTCACACAACTCATAAACACTAGAATTAAGAAGTACCTATTGAGGATGTACGAGATGTAGGAGGTGTTGGAACGGTCGAATGCTCACTTGGTGGAGGTGATGGTAGTCCTAAGCTTGGTGTTTGCTCTGAACGGGTTGGTGACAGTGGTAGAGACGGCAGTGCGGATAGTGATGGTGGTGTCGAATTGCATTTCCATACTTCTGGAACATACTTTGCATAATCTCAACTTTTTTTTTACTACCCACTGTTGTTTTTCATGGAAGGTGATAATGTGAAATACGACCACTGGACCACTACGATGCTGAGATATTTTCAAAACCTGGACCCCAGGACAGATTCGAACCCGCCATTACCCTTTCACGCTTTGCTCAGCCTACGCAAAGTCTTCCTAGTTCTCTCAATAACTACTGAATAAAAAACCTTCAAATCGTCCATATGGGAAGACAGGGAAATAAGAACAAGTCGATATATTTATTTCAACAATGTGAACAAAAATCGTTTTCAACGGTAGCCCGCCAAATAATGTAGCAAACACATAATGGATTATGGATTTTACTAACTTGATAGTTGATACTTAAACAACCCGTCCTTACTGGTTATGCGAGCCCCAGCATAATTACCATTTTTCGGAGATATGCTGGTTAAGCCATTGTGGTTCTGCGAAATCCTGAGGTCAACGTGGCCAAAGTCTGCCCCAGGTTTTCACCATCATGGGCAGTTGCAGCCTTTGTGGATCAAGGGAGATTTGCCACCATGCGACTTTGATACCAAGACAGTGGTGGACTCTGGTATTGGTTTACTCTTAGCTAACCTTGCTGATGGAAACGCCGAACTCCTTCTCAGCTTCGGAGCCTGCGAGAGGACGAATCCCCGCTGTACATCGCAGTCCGACACCCAGGAACACCTTCCAGCCACGATGAGACAGTAAACCGTTGGGAGGTGATTCCAGAAAACCACAATGGCTTAAACCAGAAAATCACCGAAATTTTATGGATTTTAGCACCGATGATCCCGCGCAGTTTATTTTTAAAAGCTTAAACAAGGAGACCGTTTGAAGTTCAAATGTTAGAGGGCTAGTTAGTCAGATCAATACTCTCAATTATACTATACTTAGATCGCAAGTGTTTTAAAGCATTTTCATGGAAAGACGGATTCGCTAGTGAACAAAAACACGATTATGTTTTAACTTGTATTTCAAAGAAATAAGTCTCGTCTCAAGTCAGATTTAGGCAGACCTTCTTTCGGCTCGTCTACGAACGCGATCTCTTGGAAACTTGCCGAATCGGGTACGAATGGAGGAGCCTAAAAGAAATTTTTCACCTTCTTTTATACATTACTAAAACATCCAGTAAGGTAATACAAGATATTAAGACATTGAAAGCATTTTCAACCTTTTTTATCCGTTATCTGAAGACTAGGCAATAAAATAATGTGCGACAGCGCTAACGCTGTGTGCAAAAGTGCGAATAGTCATCAATGCGTTCTGGCGCGTCGTCTCATTTGCACTGCCGAATAGTGGGAGGAGCGCTTTAAATATCATTCGTCTAAACTCAAATGCTAAAGAAGTATCTTAATAAGCTCACCATTAAAACATTCTAATAAAACCAGCTATCACTTCCTAAACCATGAAAAGACCGTTGATATTTCCATAAGTAACTACATGTCTCAACTCCCTTATTTCCTATTTTTCTTATGGAAGTGCACGATGTGCACTACAACAGCAAAGGTGCTGAGATATGAGCAAAACTCGGGACCTGATTTGGATTCCGTTGACGGTCGCTTCTTAAGAGTCTCGACGGGGTTAAAAAAAAATACAGAAAGCCAAAGGCCTTCGTTGGGACAATGGATACGTACTCATGGCACATCAACCCTCGGCAAGGTGAATCGAGGATTCGAAGTCCAATTGAGATCCTGAGTTCCACTCATATGTCAGCGTCCTTGTGGCAGTATTTGTATGCATGTTAAATAATGGTAGCACCTACATTAAATTCTGAGAAGTAGGTGAAATTTCTCAAAACATTTCTCTGTGTTCCGAAAGTCATTTACTGTTTCTGTAAACAGGATCACGGTTTTGTAATAACTAATCATTTCTTGTTGAAGAAATGCAAGGTGTTATTTTATTCCTTATTTAACAACAAGCTGACGTTTCGGCGAATTTCGTCTTCCTCAGAGCTCTCAAAGGTCAAGTTGACCGCAATCTACCCAGCCAAACACTTCCATAACCAAATAGAGAAAATGCCAAACGAAAATTTCAACCATGTTGAATACAGAATAGCTTCATCGATTACTCACTGATTTCTATGAGTTTTCCGCTGAATGTCATTTGGAGACCAACAACACAGAGTTTACATGGAAGCGCAACGTGCCTCTCAAATCAAAACAACAGTCATAAATACCGTCCCATTTCACACATGATTATGAGGCATTGCTCCCTACGATTCATTTTCGGGTTCTTGGAACTAGTCCAGAATGCCTGCAGAATTTTCCGCGCTTATGTTTTTGACTTCTGTGGGAGGATTGTCACTTCTACTTCAAAATTTTCCCTGTTATGTCTCTTTGTGCTATGCGTGCCTAGTAGGGTACTTCCTTTAACTTTAAGCTTACCGACTAAGTGTTTTTTCACACGAACGCAGAGTGGTCTACCCGTTTCGCCAATGTATTCATCTCTGCACGCTTTACAAGAGATCAGATAGGATGTACCCTAACTTATTCAATCACCCCCTCTACCGCTGAAAAAAATTGTACAACTTTGCGTTGTGCATAGATGGTCATAGAGTCTGTTACGAACTAGTTGGCTTCTTAGAGTGTTCGGTGTTTCGATCATTCTTACCGAATTCTCTAGACCCGACCTTCTTAAGCAGCGTATTATAGCTGCCCTTAGTTCGTTTGAAGAGCAGGATAAACGGAACCTTGTTATCGCTAGAGATATCGTGGAGGCTTGGGCTTTCCTCTACACCTATTCCGAGAAGCTCAGCTTTGTAGCCATTGGCTATTTACCGCGCCAGGTTCCGGGATTCTTTCTTCTGCTCTCCTCCTGTACACACACTGGTGGTTGTTCGAAACATTTCTTACAAGCGCCCTTTTCATGTGAGAGGGGTGAGAGGAGACGTAACGAACCAAGATGTTTCGAGTACTTGGCTTTCGGTACCACTTCGTAATGTAGCCGTTTTCTGACACGTTTATTTGGACGTTTAGAAATAGAAGCCAGTTTTCTTTCGGTTTCTCTCGGGTGAATTTGATATAATCTGACTGATCGTCCAACAACTCGAAACATTTGCCTATTTCCTGTTGTATTGTAAAGGACAAAACAGTCATCTATATATCTACAGTAGAGTAACGGCCCGAGATCGGTCATTGGTGCTTCCACCTTAGACATAAATACAATGGCAAGGCTTGGAGCCATTAGTTGTCCCATTGCCAACCCTCTTATTTGAGCGTTGTACTTTCCAGACCATCTAAAGATTGAGCAGCTTAAGCATTTTTTTAAGAGTGTTACCAACTGCTCTATTTTGAAGCCATACATGTTTATTTCTCCTTCGTGTTCTATAAGGAGTTCGAATATGGCTTGCAGCGGAGTCATTCGACACGTTTTTATAAAGAGCGTTAACGTCGAAGGACTTCATCACGTACGCGCTGCTGGGCTGCGCAATACGAAGACGATCCAGGAGCATCTGGGTATTCTTAAAATGAGCTGGAGTGTGTTTCAACAACTGGGTAAATATTAGGGTTAAAAACCACGTTATCCTATCGGTTGGCCCGTCTACACAGCTAACGATAGGTCTAACCGTAAACAATGACCGTATTTCGTAGACGCAAGATCATCGCTGGTTACTAACTTACGAGTTTTGATAAGTACAAGACAAAACATATTGGTAAATCAACTTTTAGTTGAGAGATAACCGATGATTTTAAACCAGCAACCCTTGCCATTTTGACCCATTAGTGGTTCAATTTTTGGTGTTTACTTTTGAACTCCTTCTCAGAAGACAGACGATAAAGAAAAGCATCTTCAAGATGTTTTTTCCTTATTTCAGCATCTAACTGATGAGGAATTACTACAAACTCTTCGCCCTTATCACTGACGAGTAGTCCTGTGTCTTTCAATCTTATCAGCTCTCCTACCTCCCGCATGCCACGTTTTTGCACTTCAGTGAGGTTGAAGCTATATCTTCGTTTGTAAATATCCGGATCGTCGTGGTGGTAATGCCCCTACTTTCTATTGTTCGATGCTATTTCGTGCTTCATCTCCAGTTTTCTTACGGAGTCTATCTTGAAGTTCATGTAAACGACATGCGACGCTACGCCAGGTTTCCTTAGAAATGGGTACAGATGGGATCAGTTCTTATAGCGAGTATTCTAATTCTAATAGCAGTGTGAAATGCTGAGATATTTGCAAAACTCCGGACCACAGGTGTATGCAGTGGGGAACGAACACGCGCTGCTCCCCGGCAAGGACAACAGCGCGTGTTCGTTCCCCACTGCATACACCTGTGGTCCGGAGTTTTGCAAATATCTCAGCATTTCATATGAGTTATAATTCGAAACATACCTTGCCATTAAAAAGAAAAAGGCAGTAAATAAAAGAGTTAAGATTCTAATAGCAGTATTTAAGACTGTTGTTTTGATTTGAGAGGCACATTACGCTTCCATGTAAACTCTGTGCGGTTAGTCTCCACGTGACATTCAGTGGAAGACTTATAGAAAGCGAGGAATATGCCATAAAGTTATTCTGCGTTCAATGTGATTGAAACCTTGGTTTGGCATTTTCTCTGTTTGGTTGTAGAAGTGTTTGGCTGAATGATTGCAGTTATCTTAACCATTCCAGGCTCTGAGGAAAGCGAAATCTGCCGAAACGTTAGCTTGTTCTTGAATGAAGTATAAAATAACACCTCGCGCTTGCTGAACAGGAATATAAAGAATTATTTGATCAATGCCGAGGTTGATAGAAAGTCGATCGTGGAAACTACAACTGATGATATTTATATCTCTCAAACGTTTACAACTTATTCCAACTTTTGGGTACCGAAATATGATGCACAGGAAAAATTCACCGCCGTTTGAATAGCAATTTTAGCCAACTTGAGAGGAGTTCGTAATCTTCATCAGTCACCTTAGCTGAGAGTGAATCTCTGCCATGAATCGTAGCCTTACTAGACAAATTCTAATAGTGAATGTAAGGAATCTACATTAGATCCATCATAGTCGACGTTTATTTCGGGAAAGTAGGAAAAAAACTGCCCAGCAAAGTATGGCACCATTACAGTGGAAATTGTTGTGGAGAACGTCGTATGATTCACGAAAATCAGCGGTCCAAATAATCAAGCTAAGAGTGATACGAAGGTCGTCACAGTCTCCTTTATTCTGAGCTCTTAAGAATTCTGCGTTAATCCCAGATTCATACAACATCAATTTGCTTGAAAATGTACGACACCAATGTAGTGCGGAAAATCCTTTGAATAACATTGCAACTCATCCGTTCTAATTACAAGTTTTTAAAAAAAATAAACATGTGAAAATAATTTTTCCATTCCCCACTCCATTGAAACTCACTCGTAATGTTTCTATTTCGCCCTCTTCGACTTTTATTGCTTGGTCGACAAAGTGATCGAGGTCGAGGTCCTTCATAACGGTAGTCGGCAGATTGAATTGATCACCAAGATTTTTTACGAGCGCCTTCACTGTGATCCTTAATATAAAAATCCGCTTAAGTTTCAAGGTATTGTTTCCTAAATGACCGAAAGTGTAAAGTGCAATGAATGGAAAAATTGTTTTTGTTGCCCTAGTAGCAGGTTCTGCTTGCTTGAAGTACTTAATTAGTACTAAGAAGCTCTTCTTTTAAGGTTTTTGTAAAGACATTTGACACATAAAGCGAAAGGCTGTTTATCGCCTATACGCATAGCGTAGATCGCATAGCTATCTCTCAATATTTATACATTATTCTTTTAAATGTGGGTCCATGTAGTCTAATGGCTAGAAAGTTCCTGCCACACACATATGATCGTTGGTCCTAACAGGGATCTCGCGTCCTAAGCTCATCAAGCCTTCCATCCCTCTGGGCTTGATAAATTGGCACCAGACTGGTCTGGTAGGATCGCAACACTGATTCGATCTATCAGAAGGCCAGCTCAAGTCATCGCATTGCGCAGATACCCATTCAGGTACCTCTAACGATACTTGTCGAATATCAATGTATGGCGCATCCATCGCCGATTAATTAACGTCGAACACTTCAACCTCCACTATTTTACATCAATGATATGAGCTACTCTAGGCACAACATTCTCAACTGCATTTTCTACAAAGGCTAAACGAAATTTCATTATACCTAAGTAGTATCCATTTTTCTCCCAACGGTTTACCGTCTCATCGTAGTCGAGATGTGTTCCTGGGTGTCGCGCTGTGAAGAACAGCGGGGCATTCATCTCCCCAGTAGGGTCTCCCAAGCCGAGAAAGAGTCTGGGAGGTGTTCCTAGGTGTCCGACTGCAATGTACGGAGAGGGCATTCATTCTCTACAAGGACGCCTAAGCTAAGAAGGAGTCCGGTGTTTCCATCAAAAAGCCTAGCTAAGAGTAAACTAATAGCAGAATCCACCACAGTCTTGATATCCAACTAGTCACATGGTGGCAAACCCTCTGATCCACAAGTGCGGCGACTGCCTGTGGTGATGATCTTGGCCAGACTTTGGCTTAGGTCGGCTAAACCAGCTAGACTCCCAGAAATGGGGAATATGCCGGGCCCGTACAACGACCGAAGACGGGACATCCACTATGCAAGTATCCAAGCGAGTATCGATGTTTACTAACAGCACTGTAATACAAAAACAATTAGAGACTCAAAGAGATTGGAACGGTGTTCTTAGTCCTCTCCACTCTGTTTTCGATGACCTTTTATTCTTCCTAAGGTGCTCCCTTTCTTGTGCTTAACTCAACACCCTTTCACTATGTTGACATGTCCACAGGTGTTGTCAAAATCGACTAGCGTTCGTTCCGCATGTCATGTGTTAGAAGCACAATGTCAACAAAACGCAATTGATCAAGCGGTTATCCATCACTGCCATAGTAAACTAGTTTAGTCCTTGAAAGGCCTTTGAGAATGGGTAACCAATTTCATCAAGGTGGTATCGCTCGGTCGGACATTCTGCTTCTACGATGATGTTGCTATAAAATGGCGAAATTCTAGTTTCAATGTTTAACGTTTTGTTTTCTGCCTTCTATAATTTTCTTGGCAGGTTACTAAGCGAAATACAACCACAACGTTGCTGAGATATTTGCAAAACTCTGGACCGCAGGTGTCTATGGTGGGGAACGAACGCGCTATTATCCTTTCCGGGGAGTAACGCGTTCACCACCACACCATGCGGGTCCTTTGTAGAAGTTGTCTCTCAGGCTGGCACTGCAGTGACAGACTTTCACTAATTGAATCTGTCTATACCTTCGAGGTAGTACAACGTTTGGTTCATGTTCGACTTTCAGATGCTCTAACTTTGTTCAGTAATCTGACGATATCTCATTAGGATGATTTGTGAATTGTGAAGGCGTTTAGCATCTCAATCAACTCTCTGTATGCAACATTTGCTTATTAGTAACACTAGTACTTTCTACGCAGGTACTATGCTAGTAAAGATAGAATCCTCTAACAATGACAGATTTAGTCCGCATGAGCTTCTATCACCACTATATGTGGATTCGATTTTAGGTAATATTGTCGAAAAATCACCAAAAATTCTGTGTTAAAAATCAGAAAATAAGACCATCGATCACATACTTCTTTCCGCCGAACCAGATCGCCACATTACCGACGTTTTCAATCTTCCGTCCGAAGTAATGCAACTTTTTCAGAGTATCAGCGGCGATTTCGATGGCGACTGTGGTGAGAGCGAGACCGATAGCGATATAAATCATTGTCAGCAGCATATAGCTCTCACTGAAACCTTTAAAAATACAAAGTCTAAATTTTCAAGCGAATTCAGTGGAATATTAGTAAAAGGGTATAGACGAAGCATCCCTACTAAGAACATGAAATCTACAAATATACTATCACTATGAAGTTGTAACCCACAAAAGCACTCTAAATGTTCTATCGCGTATGGAAAAAAAGTTGTTCGGAACTTAATGCTGGACTTGTAGTTATATTTTCTCGGTTTAAATTTCATTTCCCAGCTTTTAATTCAACTTCGCAATAATAAAGAATGATAAATGCCTAAAGTTCTGTAATATTATATATCAATGCAAAGCTTATTTTGTGCATTTTCGCTGTCCTTAGTTGAACTACAATGTAAATTGTACTTGAAATAAAATTTTCAGGTTAGGATTTGAGATTACAAAACAGCAATTTTTACAAATTAACTTCGACGAATTCGATCTCGGACGTTAGCAGCCGAGGGGCTAGAAATATTAATGAGATATGGACCCAGGAAAGTGTTAATGGAAGGAACGTTCAACTTGGTTTAGAAAATTTCGCCAACGCTACTTCGACCTTCAAGATTGAGGAGGTCGCTGACGTCACTCTGCTACTGACTACGATTAATTGACAACTCTTTTTTTTACGACCAGTATTTCACAGCTAGTATGTTGAGCTCGGTACTTCTCGCATTCAATTGGTTTCCACGCGTTCATCATCCACGAAGGTCTTCAAACTTTTTACGTATGACTACAACTGCTGCTCGAGCATTTTCCTTTTATCATGAATCTCATTAAATGCTTATAAAGTCAATTTTTCCTGGAGTATATTGAGATAACCCGGCTAGAGCGTTCTTATTTGAATTGCAAACAATGAACTTTTCCGAGACAAGTCTGCTACCAAATGCTCGACTCTGAAGGGACGAAAGCCTTGATCAAGCCGGAGCGAAATTATGCTAGCACCGTGCTCGTGATGATTACCACTGTGCTACCCGCGCTCTAATTGATAGCTTTAGTGGATGCAAATAAAGACACAACTTTCTAAAAACTTGTAAAAGGACTTGGTTTAAGCATCTCTGTTGTTTTGAGGCATCTTAACAAAGCTCAAAGCTGAGACAAAGACAGCTAGACTTGACAAATAGGTGCCGTACGAATTCAATGGTTCTCTTCCACGCTGAAAAATGACCACACGTCGCAATTCCCACGCTACAAATGTTGAATGAGTTAGGTCTTGAAACTCTGCGCTACCACCATACTCGCCTGAACACATATCCACTGACTACCACTTCCTCAGGAATCTCAACAACTTCCTGTACGAAAGATCCTTTAGAAACTAGGTTAAATCCGAAACTGCTCTTTACGGCTTTATTGCCTTCAGAACTTAGGACGTTTAGGCAATAGGAATTTATAAAGCTTTCTCTCGCGTAGCGAGTTGGCAAAAATATATGGATTCCGAAGATTCTTATTTGGACTTTTTTATACGATCCGTCTTCACATTTTCCGTGCAAATCCAAGCAACTCATACATTTGATTGGTTCCCAAACATCAATTAACCACAAACCAAATTTTTCGCGTGTGCGTTCACCTGCTACTCGGAGATTGTTGTCTTCTTTATGAATGCCTCTGAATGCTCTCCGAGTCGATTCTCCTTGGAGTTCCGGCGTAGCCGAGCTATATCGCTTCAATTTAGATTGCGGAAAACGGATTGTTCTCAGGCAAGTCTTGGAGAAATTTCCAAACTCCGGAGGAATGAGAGGCTTGATGATTGCGGGGCCGCGTTGAATCAACATCGTGCTCGTGGTAAATGGGATTAATACCACTGCGCTCCCCATTCCTTAAGTATTTCAATTAACGAGGATTAATCTGAAATGATCCTTTAGGAACACAGGGTGAACTGCGGCATTAATTCCCAAACAGATTAGTAGTAGTAAAATGAGCTAACAATATCAAGGATAATTCTTAAAGATAATAGTAATTAAATATTGAGGTATGTTTAAAAGATCAATAGCAAACTTCTTTTCCATCAAAGTTTGAAAAAAGGACACAACTTGATTGAGCGGTGCTGCTTTACGTACAACAGAAAAAACGATTGTTCTCCTACTTACTTTTTTCTACCAAGCTTTTTCTACACTAAAATATTTCACCGCCAATGAATGCCAAGGTATTGAACCTAATAGTTTTGGAATGATGGCGAAAATCACAGAGAGTGATTGATGCCAATTGCTAGTTTTCTCCACGTTCAAGAATAAAAGCTGTTTGTAATGACCCATACATAACTATAGAAATATCTAAGAGATTACTGACCTTCTTGGCACAATATCACCCAATCCAATTGAAGTTAACGTCACAAAATTGAAATAGATTGCCTTGAAGAAATCCATATCTGGTTCATACGTGACAAGCATCAATCCACCTGTAAGGTCTTTAAACCATTATCTCTAAACTGTGGAGAAAAATGTCTGGTAAAAAAAAATTCTCTTCTTTGAAGAAAAGCTAGAAAAGACCCCTCTGCCCGCCTATTGTGCAATAAATGTAAAAAATTATTCTTCAGAATTACAGTTGTTAACCACGCTACAATGAATGACGTTCCCCCCAATTAAAACCAAGTGGTATTTCTTTAATTCTTTTTAATACTCATTAAATCCTTTCAACGCTTTACCGCCTCATGCGACTCGGAGATGTTCTGGGTGTCGGGCTGCGTTGTACAATGACGGATTAAACCCCTCAAAAAGTACTAGAAATCTGACAGCAATCCTTAAGCCCAGCTAAGTGTAAAGTAATACCAGGAATCACCACCATCCTCATATCAAACTGGTCGCGTGGTGGAAAATCTCGCTCTGATCCACAAGGGCAGCAGCTGCCTGGGGTAGTGACGACATGAGGGAGGCCTCTGCTGGGTAGGTAAACCTCAGAACTCCAGGAAACCATTATATCTAAACCGGAAAAACTCCGACCCCTGTGCCCCACACACTGAGAACTCCGCTCAAAGAAGTCGGGCGGTGATGGAACCGGTGATAGCCGATTGAATGTATGGTTGAAAAGGACGTCATTGGAAACGGAAAAAACGAGAAGGTCCACAACCCCCCACAGGGATTGCTTTTGCTATGCACCTATAACACCAAAACAGTCCCTTCAGACACCAAGCTTTGCGCTCTTCTTGAGCATGCTAATCGCATCAAATCCCATGCCATTATACAAGAGATGACAAGAAGGACGATCGACCTACGATAATTAGATAACAGAACCCTTGCTTTTCGTGGAGGGAAATTTCTCTTACGAAATATCGGAGGAGTTGACTTTGTTGTGCATCTACCTATTTCCTATCCAGTCAGCTCACATGAAATGCTATCCCCGTGCTTGGCCATTCTTCATCTCTAACGTGCTCGCCAAAAAAAAGCCATTATCAACAATTGTTACTCAAAAACTTGTGCAACTAATGAGAGCGAACGAGATGTGTTCTACAACCACTTGGAAGGAGTAATCCACAACGAGAAGCCTTTATATAAATTTGTTCTTTGAGTCCTCAACGCCATACTAGAAATTTCCAACGAAAATGGACACAAGATAGGAAAGTTCAGAATATAAAAAAGAAACGAGGATGGTAACCTTTCTGTAGGACTCCTGCCGGCAACACGTCCCTACAAGGGAAATTCATATTTCGAGAACAGAGGAAATCGCCGATAAACATGGTAGTCTTCTAATAACACGACTCATGCGGCGATCGATCATATTCTCATGAATAGAAAATTGTGGCTCTTTGACGTCTCAGTGGTACTTGGATTTTGTACTGTACTGTATCATATCACCAACTTTCCCATGCGAAAATTCGATTCAGCCATAGTCTGCGAAAGAATTCCTGTCATCGTCCAAGAAAAACAAAATAAGTCGTGTATACCAAGGATATTCTCAATAAAACCCTCTCCTTATGATTAGTAGAAGGAAGACCTGACCAAGGAATACAAGCTAAATATCCAAGAACTTAATACTTGTGCCAAACTAGCCTCATTTCCTCAAAAAGAAGCCGGGACCACGCCTCCATTACTAATGAAGAGTTGCTGGAAAAAAGAAGGACACTGAAGTTTGACCCTACTGCAACATATGTAACACAGCTGATAGTAAATAACAGCTATAGAAAATGTATTCAGGAAAATTTAGATCGGTACAGGCAAGAAAGGATATGTACTCTACAAGGTGTTCACGAAGATTATCTTAAGTATATCGAAGGCCTTGAATTAACAACAACCAATTGAATACGTAGGATTCCGATGGAGATTCTGCTGCGTGGACCACGACCAAACCGTACCATATCTGTCGGGAGTACCGACAGCTCCTTGCTCTAACCTTTATTGACTAAAAAACGTTGGACAGCATCGAAACGAATGCAATCCCATAAGCACTTGTCTACCATCCCGTATGCGAACACAAGCAAACTGCTATCGAAACTACAAGACAATACAGCTTTCTTACTAATCGCTCATCGTATTCATAGGAAAAGAGGTTCAGCGACGCGACACATTGTCGTCAAAGCTTCTGCAGTGGATAACGAGATCACTGTTTCAAAATGAAAAGGCAAACGTATTGATGGAAAATTCCTATCAAATCTTCGTTTTCCGGATTACACTACCATGTTTTCGAGGAGTGCCAGGAAAGCAGACACTATGCTCAGTGAAATCAAGATGAAAAAAGATTGGATTGTGAATGAATCTGAAAAAAACTCAATTAATGAAAAATTTGTGTTGTGAAAGCGAGCAGATCAGATGGTTCTCTGACTACAAAGACAACCTCGTACGCGTATCTTAAATTTTTAACAAACATGGAGAATAACATAAAGAAGAAACTAGACAGTAGGAGGAGGGCAGCATGGGCCGCATTCGAGATATTCAAAGAAGCCACCGAACAACTAACGGATCCAAAACTACGTGCTCACTTATTCGACTCAACGATCCTCTCAACGCACTGTTATGCAGCAGAAACGTGAGCCGACACTTCAACCACGTCAAAAATACTGCGCGCTACTCATGCAGCATTTCAACGGTATCATCAGCGGAAATTTAACTGACACTCACAACGTATAGGCGCAAAGCGCATTTCAGATCTTCGAAAGCTATACCATCTACGGGATCCGGGAGAATACACATCCATATAATAAGAAGAACGAATTACAGATGGACGGAAAAAACATTAGAGCGGACTCCAAGATAATACAAGCCTTCGCTTGGAAGACCACGCAAACGATGGGCGGACGTGTTTGTGGCTAAAGTCAACCATCAGCACACGCATATGGTAACGACTTCAGAATTACGGAATGGACTTCGTGGATGTCGCCATGTATGAAGGAGACAATTACCATGGACGACGAATGCGCAGGAAAGAAACGAAAAGAAGTTATGTTGGAGCTCGCACTCCAAGTAAGGACAGGCTATCGAAAAATAAAAGCCCGTAATACTCATTAAATTGGTCTATTTGGCAGCTACGTTTACCTAGAACGATATAGATGATGAATAAAATGAAAAGCAGAATCGCTTGCGAGTTCTTCTCGTCATCCTCGGATTCGGAGACTTCGTCAAGCTTTTCCTAAAAGTTTCAACGATTGAATTTATGCGAACAAAATAAAATTTAATAATCAAGCATTTTTAGCGTAGTTTCAGCTAGAAATAAATAATCCTAATCAGCTAGTATGGGTTTTGGCGGAAAAAATTAAAATTCAAGGCTAATTCGGTTATGAAAAAAGAGAGATTCGCTTTATTTTAGATACGTATTTCCGGGTGTGAAATTGCGATAAACAGAGAAGATCCTATCCTTTAAGCAGAGTTTCCTAAGCTGAAAAAAGTCTGGCATGTCATTCCTTACGCCAAGGTAGTGGACCGGTGCAGCGCAGCGGCTGGAGCCTCCATTCATCCGGAATCTCATCCATTCGAATTGCTATCCGTCTTCTCTAGAAGGGTAGTAGCACTGAAGTGATAGATCGGTAGGTAGCCGAAATTCAGTGTATAAGCTAGATATGCTTTTAAGCGCCAGTAACGATACTTGATGAAGTCGAACGCATGTGCTGCATCTTCCGGGAATTGATCAACGCAAAGACCTTTTTTCTTTTTGTATTAAGCCAGACCTACAATAATGCGACGAAATACTGCCGTCTCAGTACCAATCTTAGTGTCGGATGACATATTTCTCTTTGATCCGCAAATACCAGTGAATGCAAGTGGTGACGACTTGGCAAAGCTCTATCACGGGTATATCGAGAGCCAAGCGAAGAAAATTTGGTCAACCAGGAAACTACTAGCTAAATAGAAATTATTCTTGCTCTCGCTCTTTTATGAAAATAACCAATGAAGCAATTACGAAAGAGATGTGTGTGACATTTCGTAGGATCATCGTGAAAAGTTTCATAACGCTAA